GGGGGGGGGGGGGGGGGGGGGGGGGGGGGGGGCGTGCCAGCCTGTATCTTGCCCTAAGCCCGCCCCGCACTCCCTCATCAATTATGCTTTAAGAACTGAAAAGCAGTCAGGGCACAGGAGAGGGGCTCTGTACTCCCGCTGGATGGAGCAGGTGACATCTGAGCCAAGGCTTGGCGGAGGTGAGGGCGTTCGCCGTGTAGCTCTGGGGGGAGCGGGGAGATCGGTCCAGGGCGATAAAAAAGCCCAAACAGGAAACATCTGTCAGGAACGGGTTGGGAGGGGTTGGTGAGGTGACGAGAAGGTGGGTACATCCTATGTGCTCTATCCTACTGTGGTTTTAAGACAAAAACCCCGTTTGTGTGCATATGTGTGACGTTAAAGAAAAACTTGTTCACGGGCAGTCACTGCTACCGGACGGAGACGGGGCTCGACCCCAAATATAAGTCAGGGTTGGGGAGCAGAGCAGGGCAGGTTGGGGGTGGGGAGCGGATGGAAAACTCCTGAAAGGGCAGGAAATACCCTTTGCTAAGCTGACTTCACAGGGTTCTTGCTGAAGCCTGGCCAGACTGATCAGACGTTACCTGGATGGTGGAGGAGGGGAAGGGAGGAACGCGATCTTATACCACGGGGTTATCTGATATCACGTTATTAGCTATCAAGGGTGTGGGGGGGTCCTGGCTAATCTGATTTAGCAGGATTCCTGCTGAAATCGGACAATGCAAAGAAAGACATGGGAAGTCAAGGGCGAGCTGGGAGCAGGATTCGGTGGAGCCCGAGGCGGTGCTCGGTGACGGAGACACAGCGTGGACACTTTTCTAAGTGTCTGTGGCTACGGAGCTTGGAAACGGGTGTGGAGGAAACCACACTGGTTATCGGAAGTCCTGTGTTTGCAGGGCGCAAACCTGAAGCCGTTCCTTGGGCCAGGATCTGACTCAAATGTCACCTCCTCAGGGAAGCCCTCCCTGAGCAGCCGAAGTAAAGATGTGCCCCGCTCTCCCTCTCAGCTATCACTTTTTTCAGTTTTTATCTTCTTTTTTTAAAATTTTTAAATGTTTTTAGTTATTTCTGAGAGAGAGAGAGAGAGACAGCATGAGCAGGGGAGGGTCAGAGAGAGAGGGAGTCACAGACTGAAACAGGCTCCAGACTCTGAGCTGGCAGTCAGCACAGAGCCCGACGTGGGGCTCGAACCCACGAACCGCGAGATCATGACCTGAGCGAAAGTCCGACGCTCAACTGACTGAGCGCCCCTCCGGCTCATTCCTGCTCCTCTCTCCCCTCTGCTCCCTCTTCTCTCCTACAGCAGCCTGTCTTTCTCTCTTACCCCACTGACGGCGCCTGCCCACGTACCCTCTGTGCAGCCTGCTGCGGTCAGGGGCACCGTGGCTGTTCCAGCTAGAACGTGACCGGGGCGGGGGGGCCGCAGGCAGAGGGGACAGTTCTGAAAGAGGGGGGAGGGCTGGGGAGCCTTGGTCAGGCTGCCCGGAAGGACCCCGGCCCCACACAGGCCTGCTCCTCTGGGCCCAAGCGAAGGGGTCCTCCGAAAAGCAGGAGCCCCAGGATCCCAGCCCCGTGGGGGCGCTTGGGTCCGGACCCCACAGCAAAGTCATTCCTGTAAAATACGTCGGCACAGACGGTCATAAGCGGGGTGGAATATGGACCCTGAAAACGGCTCTGTTTTTACCAAATGGCTGCATCCCACCAGGAAAAGAAATTAGAATTTTTATTTTTTTTTGAATTTAGTAGATACCACAGGCATTTAAAACAAACAGAAAGAGATTTCAGGCCCACGAAGAGGGATGGAGGCTGGTCTGGGGCAGCTGAAATTCCCAGCTGAGTAACCACGACGTCTCCCCAGGGCCGGGCGCTGGAGGGCACCGCACTTGAGGGGTGACCAGCGTTGGGGGCACAAGCAGCGGTGCTTCTGTGTCTTGGGCGGAGACAGTTCCGAGTCGAGAGCAACACTGGTGTCCGTTTCTTTAGATGTATCTTGAGAGACGCAGTGCGGGTGGGGGAGGGACGGGGAAGGGGAGAGAGAGAATCCCAAGCAGGTTGTGTGCCGTCAGCGCACAGCCCGACAGGGGGCTCGAAACCACGAGCCGCAAGATCATGACCTGAGCAGAAATCGGGAGTCGGATGCTCAACCGACTGAGCCCCCCGGCGCCCCGCCAATGCGTCCACTCCTCAGATTGTCGACTCCCGGGGGCCGCGGGGTGGCCTGTTCACAGGGGCTTGTTAACACGGTGGCCGCGGTTTCACGCGGGGGTGTGGCGGCCGGGAGGACCCAACGGATGCGTCCGGGAGGGCTCCTTTACCGTCTGCCTATGAACGAAGCCCCACTTCTCACCCACCGTGTACGAGGGCAGGGAATCCAAGGACCAGCGGATCAGACTCGGCTCCTGGCCTTGGGGCCCCCACTCAGCGCCCCACGTTAGCAATGAGGCGGGAGGGGCGAGGCCGTGCGCTGAGTGCTCCGAGGGAGCGCGGGGCAGCGGCACCCGGTCAGGCGCGAGAGAGGGCAGGGGGCCCGCGTGCCAGGAGGCGGCGGCTTCACTGGGCTCCAGACTCTGTTTCCCCTGCGGTGCCCTGCCTCACCCCACGCGCCTCCAGCGGCTCACGTGGGTTTCAGAAACAGCAAAGCACAACTCGGGCTGATAGCAAACCCAGGCTCAGCACGCCGTTCAGAAGGCCGAGGTGTCCACTCCCGCTGTCCGTCTTCAGCCAGAGGTGGCCAGTCCCAGGTCCGCCCCCCCCGACGTCCTGGGGCGCCCGGGTGGCCCAGGGAGGGCTCCGGGGGGGCTGCCGTGGCCGCCACGCCGGGCTTTTGGGTTAGGCGTCGACAAGGTCCGCAGAAGAGTCCACGTGGACGTTCCCTGGGATGCTTCTGTCCCCGCTGGACAGCTGGCCTGGGGGGCTGAGCGAGGCCGTCTGGGCGCCCGGTGGCGGCCTGGGCGCGTAATGCCCAGCGTCGGCGGGCGCAGCGCCACGGCCTCGGAGCGAGGAGGCGGCCGGACGGCGGGACAGCGGGACAGCCGGGCTCACGGCGGCAGCGGCTGGGCCCCGCCCCCGGCGCCCCCCTCCCAGAGGTCCGCGATGAGGTGAGGGTGGGCCTCCTTCAGGGCCCCGTACACCTGATCTTTGCCGGCCCAGCCCCAGGACCTGCTGAAGCTGAAGAGCACCCGCATCTGGTCGGGCTTGGTGGCCTCGGCGCGCACCCTCTCATACTGCTCGTCGCTCAGCAGCCGCCCGTGCAGCCTGTCCAGCACCGGGTCCACCGACGTCACCCGGGACACCAGCTGCTCCCGGTGCCGGTCCACGAAGTGCAGCAAGGCCGGGGCCCCTGCAGGTGAAGGCGCCCGGCTCCCTTCACTCCCTCGCTCGGCATCCCGTGCCCCTTCTCCCCCCTGCAAGGGCCTTTGACCACCACAGGGGCCCCTCGGCCTCCCCCCTCCCCTCTGTCAGCATCTATCCAGCGTCCGGCTGGGGTGGGGGAGGGGCTCATCATGGGGGCACATCTGAGGGGGTGCAGTGGGGAGAGACCCCCGCCCCCTCCACAGGGAGGCTCCAGGGCACCCTCCCCCCTCCAGGGCCTGATCCCTACGGGGGACACAGCGATGGAGCCCCTTCCTCTCTCTCCCCTCCCCTCCAGGATGCACAGTGCGGCCAGGGCGGTCTCGGACCTCGGACAGCTGCTACTGACCTGCAAGGCCGGGAGTCAGCAGGGGGGCCGCAGGCCGGAGGTCCCCTGGAGGGAAACAAGTGAGGAACAGTCACAGTCACAAGGGGCCTCGAAACCGCCACCCCTTCTGACATCCTTTAATTCTGGCCACAGGCTCTTGTCAAGTCTGGTCAGACTCAGAAGCGAGGCTGCAGGAGACCTGAGAGATGGGCGCGTCCTATCCCCGTGCACATGGGGAAACTGAGGCCAGGACTGTGGTCAGAGAGAGAGACAGAAGCATGGTCTGATCCAGTCCCTTCCTCACGAGCTTGAAGTATTTGCGGCGTCCTTGCCCTGAGCAGGAGCCCCCTCCGTGTCCTTGGGTGTGGCCCCCGTGCACACAGCACACAGACCGAAGCTGTTTGGCCTGGACTTGGAAGTCAGCATCGAGAATCAAGACTCGAGACTCGAGAACCAGACACTCTGAGCAGAGCAAGGGCTGGATTTCAGCAGAGCAGCGCCAACTTGCACACGGAGAGGAAGGGGCGTCTGCGCACAGGGCTCCTCCGGAAAAAGCTGAGGGCTGGGGCACACCCCCAGGCCGTGTGGCCCCACCTCTGGGGGGCGGGCACGGGCAGGGAGGGGGAGGCCGGCGGGGTTCGTCTGTGGGAGCCAGGAAGGATCTCTGCATCCTCCGTGCCGGGGGCCCCCTCCCCACTCACCCGCAGACAGGAGCCCCAGCGAGGACAGCCACCGGGATGGCAGAGAATTTAAAAACCAAAATGTAAGGGGCACCTGGGTGGCCGACCGACTTCCGCTCAGGTCACGATCTCACGGTTCGTGGGTTCGAGCCCCGCGTCGGGCTCTGTGCTGACAGCTCGGCGGCGCCTGGAGCTGCTTCGGATTCTTGTGTCTCCCTCTCTCTGCCCCTCCCTTGCTTGCTCTCTGTCTCTCTCTCAAAAATGAATAAACATTAAAAAATTTTTAAAAAACAAAACATAAGAGGAATCTGGGAGAAGTTGTAGGTTTTCAACTTGCAGCGGGGACTTTCAGGAAGCACAGTCCGCAGGCATCTGACCGGCTTTCCCGGGGGAAGGAGACAGGCTTCTGTCCGCTCCCAGGGCCGGAATCAAGACCAAGAGGAGGAAGAGATCAGCCACCGGCTGGCGCCATGACGCTCGCCTCCCGGAGGAGCCAGGACCCGGCAAGGCGGGGACTCCCCAGGCTCCGGGCGCGGCGGGCGGGCGCCAGGGCTGCTGAGTCCCCCACCTGCGTCCGCACCTGCGCCGAGACCCAGCGAAACCCGGCGTCGCAGTTTGGGGCAGCCCGGGAGGCTGTGCTCCGGGGGCTGACGGGGGCGCGTCCAAGGGACACTCCGGGGGCGTCAGTGCGGGCGCCTGTGAGGTCCCACCCGTCCCCGCAAGTTTACTCTTCGATCCTGGCTCGTCTGCCTTGAAAACAGCAGGATGACCCAGCTTGCGGGTCCGATACCTACAGCGGCCGGATGCACACAACTGTGACCCGTTTCCTTCTTACTCGGTCGTCCGCATCCAGGCGGCCACGACAGCCCTCGCCCCACAGACGCCCGGGACGGCGGGTCCGCTCGTCACCGGCGGCCTGGGCCCCGTGTGCGGGAGCGAGCACGGCGCTGGCGGGCGGGCTGACCCGACTCCGATTGCTGGTCGCACGCCAGCCCCTGCACAGCTAGGAAAAGCCACCTGACTTCTCGGGCCCGGGTCTTCACGGCAGGTAGTGGTGATACAAACTGGCACGCACTCGCACACCCGTGCACACGCACGCTCTCACACACACGTGCACATGCTCACACACCCCCACACAAACGCACATGCATCCACACGTGCACACACACCCACAGACACACCCGTACCCACACACGCACACACGCATACTCACCCCCACACATGCACACACAAACACACCCGTGCCCGCATACATGCACACCCACACGCACGCTCACGCGCACACACGCGCACGCCTAGCTGACCTCCCCCCTCCTGCCCCCGAGCCGCTGGGCCCGACCGTACCTGGCTTTACCAAGGCTTCCCACACCACAGTCCCCTCCTTCTTGTCGCTCATTTGCAGCCGGATCCCTGAGCCCAGGTGGTGGACGTAGAACTCGGAGAAGAGCTGGGCTTCCCCGGGGCTTCGGTAGCAGAGCTCCAGCTCCTGAACGCAGGGGTCTTCCGGTGAGCTCTTCCTGCAGGCCAGGTCTCTCCCTGCGCCCGCACCTCCCCGGCCCTGCCCGGCCCGCAGGACGCCCCGACACACTGCCGCCCTCACACAGTTCCCCCAAACCCCGCTCAGGGGCGTGAGCGCCGCCGGGCATCCCCTGCCTGCGTCACAGACACCCTCACAGGTGGCGCTCACACTTCCCTCCATCGCCCCCACCCTGACCCCGGCCCCTCACCTCCATCCCCCCCAGCCCCGCACCTCTCCATCCCTCCCCAGCCCCCCACCTCTCCATCCCCCCCAGCCCCTCACCTCTGCATCCCCCTAGCCCCTCACCTCTCCATCCCTCCCCAGCCCCTCACCCTCCATCCCTCCCCAGCCCCCCACCTCTCCATCCCCCCCAGCCCCTCACAGATCGGAAGACCCCCGCGCACCGAAAGCCCGTAGGCCAC